TTCTATTGTATCCAGTGCTGTAGCTAATGACGACCAACTGGGACGTCCTTTCTCTCTCACTTTATCCTCTCCTACTTAACCAGGCAGACATACACTCACGGAAACAAACCACTGTCTTTCCTCTATAGTCAGTATCTATAGCCTTTAGTCTAGGCTCGTATAATCCTAAATGAAGTCCAAACTGAATCCATTTAGTGCAATCCAATTGATTGAGTATTGTTAGCTCTTCAATGACAATATCAAGATCTTTAATATCTATGAAAATAATAATTTATAATGTGTATATACACTGTACAGGCTACACTCCTACTACTTGATTACATACCTAGCTTTATTGTAGTGACATCTGTGTTGAATACATTAGGCTTTATTTCGATCACTTCCTATACAATAATAATAGTATTACTGTCTATCTGGAAATTTTTTCTATGACTTTAATATTTCTGGATTAGAATTTAATCTCATGTATAATTACTATGTACATGCCACATTCAATAATATATGGCACAGTCTTATTACATAAGAATTAAATCACAGCACAGTTCTGAAACACAAAAATTTTCTACCATATAAATTTCCTGATTTATGGTAATAACTGATATTTGTCAATGTCAAGGAAGTGGTGTATTGCTGAAAGGTGAGTTTAACAGATGTGTACATTACTAGTAGTAAACTAAAGCCACTCAACTACAACCCACAATTGACAAATAAGTCTGAGTAATTACATTTATTTGTAGTAAAAGCCACACAATCACAATCCACAATTATATTAAGACATAAAATTACTTTTAAGATATGACCTTTTGATTATTATAGTGCTTCTATTAATGTATCAAACAGTTTGTGTGTGTTAATTCTTACCTTAATATCACGTCCTCCTAATAGTGACAGGTTACTAATATCTGATAATGATTCATCAGGTAGGATCTCCTTCAATTCTGTTTGTCCTTTATCACTCACAAGAAATGGTTTCCTTTTCTTAATCGCCAACAGTACATTATATATGCCATAAGTTGTCCTTTCTCTTGGTGTATTCACAGGATAGGCTAGTTCTTTAGGATCAATAACTAACTCTTTTACCTCTAGACTAGGACAGGATTCTTTATAAACACTCATTACCTCTCCTATCACATCTCTTCTTAGAGACACCATATTGTCACTGTAACCTTTCTCACAGGACATCATTACTAGTACACACTGGCTCTCATCCACAATCTCTACCAGTGATCCTACACCATGACCATTAAACCAATAAAGTCCATTCTTCCAAAATGTACAGTAACGATTTAACTTATCATCTTCTTGAGGTAGAGCCATTTTGTAAGCAAGACGTAATGAGAGGATGTGGAAGTATCGAGGAGGAAAGAAATGATGTTTACTAGTACACTGTAGACACCAACCAAACTGGTATACTTGACTAGTCATCTCATCAGTTCTATCACTAGACAAAAGACATGGAAAGTGCAACAACCTTTCTCCTGTTCTTTCTGTCCCTCCCTCCTCCTCCTCTTCCACTGCTAACTGATGCAGGTTCGTGATTGTTAGGAAAGATGGATTAATTTCTTCACAGAGTTCCATGTTCTTTAGAAAACGAATCAACATATCAGGATCATATTTAGGGAAGAGTCTAGTCAGACCAGACACACTAACAATACCAGTATTGCTAGCAATGTCAACGTGTTCTTCGAATGTCTCTGGAGCAAAGAGAATCCCATTCACCTCAGTTAGCAGTATACCCTTATTCACAACAACCCATACCTTGTCTTCACTTTTAAGAACACTGATCAAACCAGTTGAGTGCAACGAATGAAGAACATCCAAGACATCTCCTCTCTTATCTGGTATAAAGTAATCGTCATTGTCTTTACCAGCAGACATTACATCAGAGAGGGTCAGTATATTCTCTTTCCTTTTCTCTAGTAGACCATACATCATGTGACAATAAAGACTCAAATTCCTTCCACTTTTATTACGAATGGACTCACAGGCACTAGACAACATATTAAAGAAGGAATCCACACCACTCCCACCAAGCTTACGACAATCTAAGAAGCCACTATCACACCTTTCCGTTACAATACTCTCCTGTATTTCTTCCTTTCTCCTTCTCCTTTCAACAGGATTACTGATCTCATCCACATGACTGACAATTACAATAACATGGCATTGATTAAGAGCTTTCTGTACTTCATTTCTGACAACTGTTAGCCACTGATGAAGCTGTTTGAGTGGTTCCTTCTCCAATATATTGACTACTATTAGGAACACACCACCAGAACCTTGTAAGAGATTCTCAATGACAGCAGTGTGACTGGAATAGTATTCGGAATGACCAGCAAAATCATGCAGAATGATGCTACCCAGTGTCCTGTGTTGTAGTTTATAAGGAATGATGCCAGCAGTACAGGGCACTACCCCTCCAACATTTCTTAAGGAACCAAGAACAATAGAACCAGTAGCTGTGTCATTGATGACATGACTAAGAGTACTTTTACCAGCTCCAGGATTACCCACAAGGAGGACATTAACATAAGAATCAATTGGATGAGATGATTTTATACCACCAAACTTCTTAAAGACAGAAAGAGTAAAAGTCCTACAATACAGTGGCCCCTCTATTGCTAGTTTAAGTGGCGTGTCCCCCTTATTGTCTTTAGCCAATGGATCACATTTACCAGTTGATAGTAAATATTCAACAGCTGCAGAACAACCACAATGAATAGCACAGTGAAGAGGTGTCTGCCCCAACCTGTCAACAGCCATTGGATTACAGTTACACTCATTGATTAGATATTTGATTAGACCAGGGAAATTAAATTCTGCTGCCGCATGAAGAATTGTCCTGTTTTTAGAGTCAGTAGCCATTGGATTACAGTGACACTCATTAATTAGATACTTTACAATATCAATGTGTCTAGCAGCACAGTGAAGAACAGTCTCACCACTATTGGTAGTAGCCATTGGATCACAGTGACACTCATTAATGAGATACTTTACAATATCAATGTGTCCAGCAGCACAGTGAAGAACAGTCTTACCACTATTGGTAGTAGCCATTGGATCACAGTGACACTCATTGATTAGATATTTGATTATACCAGGGAAATTAAATTCTGCTGCCACATGAAGAATTGTCCTGTTTTTAGAGTCAGTAGCCATTGGATCACAGTGACACTCATTAATGAGATACTTTACAATATCAATGTGTCCAGCAGCAAAGTGAAGAACAGTCTCACCACCATGGATAGTAGCCATTGGATCACAGTGACACTCATTAATGAGATACTTTACAATATCAATGTGTTTAGCAGCACAGTGAAGAACAGTTTTACGCCTATTGGTAGTAGCCATTGGATCACAGTGATGATGATTGATCAAGTACTTCACGAAATCAAGTGATCCATTCTCAGCTGCTTTGTGAAGAACAGTATATCCATACTTATCAGCAACCTTTGGATCACAGTGACACTCATCAATGAGATATCTTATCACATCAACATGATGACCATATCCTGCAGCATAATGAAGACAAGTCCTACTCATACCATCTCTTTCGTGTGGGTCACAGTGATATTTAGTGATGAGATCTTTTATAACATCTAACCAGCCATGCCTTGAAGACAAATGAAGTAAACTAGTATTACCCTGTATATAAACTCTTTTAATTTTATTTGGTTCCTCCACTAATGGTAGTAAGCGAACAGCTTCTTCAGGATCTCTTTTCTTAAACGCAGTCCAACACTTGTCCTCTAACGACATCTTGTGATCAGTTAATTAGATTCATTGATACCCACCCACACACAGCAGGAATTTATATACACACATCATGAATATCATCAACTGAGAGAGAGAGAGAGAGAGAAAAATGAAAAATAATTAAACACATGTATATACATGGAATACCATATAGCTCCAAATTTTTGTTAGTCTAAAATTTTATCAAAATCTTAGTTTCTCATTAAAATTAGTTTTCGTTGATAAAATTTTTTTTGTATTTATTATAAATTTGCATATGAGCAAAAATTTTTTCAATTAAAAATATTATGAAGCAAAAATTTTTTGATGAATTTGACGAAATTTTTGACTGAAAAAAATTCAGAATCATACAACAGTGTTAATAATAATAATAATAATAAAATTTTACATTGATTTTGTTCAGAAATTATTTTTATGCTGAAGCAGTTCAGTTTATGCTTTTGCCAAGAATTAGCTGTAAAATTATCTTATTTAATTACTATTTTGACATCAGGCACTTGTTTTTAAATTTATAATACATTTTTATAATAAATACTACATCTACATGTACATTGTATGTGTGTTACTATTTGTAGTACATGTGTTACTATTAATATTAATATTGTTTGTTACTATTAACAGATGATAGTTATGGAAGTGACAAGAGGAAGAGCAGCAGTGAGTCCTTACCTTCTCCTCCTCCCATTCCTCCTGATCAACTGGATGCATTTAGCCTTCTCTCTAAAATAATAAAGTAAATCCTAATAATTATGATAATAATATTATTACATGTACTTTTACATGTACATCTACACATACATGTACATCAATTGTGTTAAGTTAATTAAGGCCATGTTTACACTACTCCGCTCCACTGAATCTGAATAGTTTTGCTATTACTGTTTTCAGGTGTTTACACTAGTCCAGCTCCAGCAGCTGCCTTTTCATTGGAACTTAGCTATCATTCGTTTATAGAAGTATCCCGCTTAGCTATTCGTTTTCAAATGTCTCCGGATAAGTATGCGTTTTCATGTGTTTTAGTGTAAATGAAACCCGTTCTACATTTTCCACTGAAAACGGAGTAGTGTAAACGTTGCCTTAGTTAATGGTCATAGTTAACTAAGATTAAAGGAAAAACTCTATAATTGGTAGAGCCAAACTTCCAATACAATAATACATGTACATTAATACTAAGTTGATGATTTATTATTTATTTATGTATTTATTTATTTATTTATTTATTTATTTTAGACATAACCACACTAGTGAACATAATCAACAATTTGCCGGTCAACTTGTATGAATGACACTCCATTTTCTTCTAAGATTCATTAAAACTCATTCCAGTACCAGCAGAATGGGAACTAGACCTTCAGGAACTGATGAACCAGAAGTGACGTCACTTGGGTGAAGTGAGAGCCAGGCCAGTGAGGACTCATCATACTTGGGACACTCTTTTAAAACTCTGGTTTCATATCGTCCAGTGAAATAACATCCCATATTCACAGTCTTAGAGAATACCTGCCTAAAAGTATTACACTGAATTACTGATCCTAGGAGGAAGCGACAGAGTTTGACTGTTTCTTACACATAATGGTGAGAAAAGAATCCTGGGACCACGCCTCCACTGAGGTAAATTAATCAAATTACTAAGAAATTAATATTTATAATGTTTTAGACAGTAATCCAGTGATCGTTAGTAACCGGTAACGTAACGTTCCATTAGGCCAATCCATCTCATTCATTGGTAGTTAAAAGGGGAGGAGTCACCACACCCTCAAGATGAAACTGTACATATACATTTAACATCAGATCTTATTGTATTTATTTATTATTGACTCTGCCCTTTTATAG